GAGGCTCCGTGGCCGGTTTCTCAGCCGGCGGTGGCGGCGGCACCTCCGGCTTCACCTGCGCCAGGGCCACCTCACCCTCTGCCCGCGGCTTCACGCAGCGCAAGTCTATGGGCTCGTCCAGGTCCGAATCCAGCAGGATGACCTCCGGCTGGGCGGGTGGCTCTGGCCGCTCTGGGGCTGGGGGGCTGAGGCAGGTGGGGGCACTGATGCTCCGGGAGGTCAGGCGCTTCTTGCCCAGCTCCCGCTCCACGTGCGGCTCTGACAGGCAGCGCTTCCGCGAGCCAGCGCTGGAGAGGTTCAGTCCCATGGAGGAAGGGCTGTGCTCACAGACAGGACTCAAGGACCAGGGCACGAGGTCTGGCTTGGTGGTGAGCTGCAAGGGCTGCTCCGCTGGAGGAAGGGGCAGCTCCTTGGCCAAGGGAGTCTTTTGGGGACTTTCGTCCAGCTCCGCAGGGGGCTGCCGGGCCTCGCCCTCTGCTTTGCTCAGGGCGTTGCTGCCCACCACCCTCTCCTCCCCTGGCTTCCTCCAAGCCTCTACCTTCTCCTCCCCACCCTTCTTTGGAGTCCTTTCCTCTGTAGCCCGTTTCCGGGGAGGCTCCCCGGACTTGATCTTCACGGCCTGCATGCCGTTCTCCATGTACTTGCTCATGACGATCACGATGCGCCCGTTCTTGTTTTTGTTCTTGACGATCTTCATCTTTCCCCCAAGGCCATTGCTGGTCACCCTGTCCCGGGGGGGCGGTCCGGTGCCACTGGACAGGTTCTTCTCGGCCCCGTTTTTGCTCTCTGCTGTGAGGTTCTTGACTGGGCCCAGCAGGTTTTTGGCTGGGCCATGAGCCCACTTGTCTGGGTGGGCGACCAGGGGAGTCTTGTTACTGTCCAAGCAGGCCTGGCCCTGCGGCTCCTTGCTGCTGGGCTGGTAATGGGGCTCGTACATCTTGGGGTCCGGCTGGTAGTGGTGGTGCTTCTTGCTGTTCAGCTGGTAGTAATACTTCCCTTTGCTGTGGGACTGATGCTTCATGCTGCTCTCCTTGCCGTTGGGCTGGTACTGGTGGTGTTTCTTGCTGTTGAGTTCATACTGGTGCTGCTGGCTCTTGCCGGAGGAGCTGAGGTCCAGCTTGGGCCTGGTGTCCACGGCCGGGTCCTGCAGCCCCGTGAGGATGTTTGAGCGGCGGGCGAAGGAGGGAAGCTGCAACACAAAACCAAGGGCCGCGCTCAGACGGGGGCGGAGAACCAGGTGCCGGTGCTCCAGCGGGTGCTGAAGGCGCCGGTGGAACCCCCGCTCCTCCAGCAGCTCTCGTTACAGGACGCTGCATCCCAGGGCGCCACGTCCTCGAGCAGGCGGCCCCAGCCCACTCCAACTTAGAGGCTGTGCATTGCTCCAGATTAATGAAGCAATGAAAAGAAGAAAAGCCCCCTTCAATCAGCTGTCTGGGAACGGGGGCTGAGCGGGACGGCCGCTGCCGAGCCCGCGAGCAGCCTGCTAATGCCACCCGGGCGCGGGCACAGCGGGGCTGCCCTGCAGCCCGGGGAGGGGGGAGTGCTGAGCTCAGCGCTGGGGCCCGGGGTCCCCGGGGTGTTGTGAGGAGCCCCGGGCTCCGCGCAGCCTCCTCAGCATGATGAAACCCGCTGCAAGCGGCTCCCCGGGGACGGTCGCGGCAAACAGTGCCCGAGGGTGAGGGGCTGCACTCCCGCGCATTTACCTGCACGACCAGCGGCTTTGGCTTGGGCCCCCGCTTGCGGTATCCCATCAGCTGCTCCTGCCGCTCCCTGCGGGAACACAGCGTCACGGCGAGGCCCGAGGGCGGCACGCGGACCCCCGGGGCGCACCCACCCCCCCCGGCGGCTCCCTGGTGCCAGCGACCCTACGTGGGTGCAGCGGGGGGGTGGCAGGAGGGGGACCGAGGCCCGCAGGAGCGGAGTCGCAGGCCGGGGGGCCCGCAGGTGGCAGCGGGCCGGGGGCACAGGCACTCCGTGGAGGCAGCGCTTTCCCCGCTCCCGCCTCCCCCGCTGCGCCGAGGGGCTGAAGTTTACAGTTTGCGCCAAAACACTCCAGGAAATAAATGCGCGGAAAGAGAAAAAAAAATAAAAAGGCTTTAAAAAAAAAAAAAAAAAAAAAAAAAAAAAAGCCGAAGCCCGTCCAAGCGCAGCAGCAGCAGCAGCGCCGCCTCCTCCACTCGCGGCATCGAATCCCGGGAAGCAGGAGCGCGAGGCGCGGCGTGGGGGGGGGGCCGCGGCGCGGGGGGGGAACCGCGGCGTGGGGGACCTTGACCCGGAGCGTTTCCCGGTGGCCCCGCACCGCCCGCCCCGCCGGGGCCGCGCCCCCCAGCCCGGCCCGGGCCCGGCCCGCGGCCGCCCCCGGCGCGGCCCCCGGCTCCGTGACGCATCTGCAATTGCGGGAGCGGCGCCGGGCGAGGGTCCCGCCGCCCTTCCCGCACCCACCCCCTCCGCCGCTCACCTGTTCTGGAAGGCGATGAGCAGCCGGGGGTCCAGGATGTTCTCCTCCGGCTCCCACGTGTTATATCTGGGAGAGGGGAGGAGAGCGGCCGTCACCGCGGGGCCCCGCCGGCGGGGCCGGGGTCCCGGGCAGGGCCACCCCGCAGCACCGGGCCCGATGGCAGCGGGGTGCGGAGATGGGGTCCCGGGAGAGGGGGATGGGCGGGGAGGGGACCGGGGGGGCGTCGCGGGGACAGAACTGTTTATTTAGCGCAGTTATTATTCCGGAGGAATTCCAGGCATGTCATGATGAAATTTTCCAAATCCCCTTTCCTGGACCCAGGAAAGCGGCCGCGGGGCGGAGGAGGGACCCGGCCGCCGCGTCCCGGTCCCCCCCCACCCGCACTGTCATGCGAACCCCGAACGCTCCGCAGCGACCGCGCTCGCCCCGGTGCCGGTGCTGCCCCCGCCTCGGCGGCGGCTCTCGGGGCTGCGGGGCGACGCGGGCGATTTTTGCGGTTATTCCCCCTTTCCCCTCCTGCCCGCCCCCCCCCTCCCCGTTCGGTTCTGCAATATGGAGCCCGACTCCGAGGAGGGAAAGGGGGAAGGAGCCATTTTCTGGTGCACATCAGCCGCCGCCTGTTCGGCTCCCGCCGCCGTCACCGCCGGGCCCCGCCGCCGCCTCTCGCCGCCCGCCCGCCGCCCCGGCCGGGGCCCTTCCCGGAGCCCCATCCCCGGCCCCATCCCCGCCCGGTGTCGGTACTCACTTGGGCGACCATCCCCTCCATTTCACCAGGTACTCGACTCTGCCCTGCGCGGCGCGGGAGGCAAAGACACGGCGTCAGCGGGAACCGCCACCCCCGGCGCCCCCAGCCCCCGCCGCCCCCCGCCGCCGCCCCCCGCACCTTTCGGATCCGCTTCTTCTCGATGCTCTCCACCGCGAAGACGTGCTCGCCCACCGCCGGCAGCTCCATCCCGCAGCCGGGAGGGGCCGGGCCGGGCCGCGCTGCAGCCGAGCTGGGCTCGGGCTCCGGCAGCTCCCGCCGCCGGCCCGACAGACACTGAGCGGCGGCACCGCAACCGTGCAAATCCCGGAGCGAGACGTCAGGGAGGCGGCGCCTCCCGGGCCCGGCTGCCCGTCAGCGGCGGGGCCGGGGGATTGGCGCAGCCCTGCCGGGGAGCGAGGCGGGGAGGGGGCGGGCGGGGGCCGGGCACGGCGGCGCGGGGAGGGGGGGCGCGGGCAGCCCGGCCCCCGCCCCACGCGTGACTCAGCACGGCCCCCACGGGGCCGGCGCGGGGCGGCACAGCCCGCGGGGCAGGTGCGCGACCCGCGCCCGTGGGGGCAGAGGGGTCGGGCGGGGGGTCCGGCCAGAGGATGCGCGGAGGGGTCCCCGCGGGGGACGAGCCCTCGGGAGGGCTCCACGGCGCGCCACGTCGCGGGCAGCCCCGGGCCCGGGAGGCGGTGGCGCCCACCCCGGCACGGCCCGGGCCGCTGCCGCCAACCGCGGGGCCCGACCCTGCCCGGGGGAGCCCTCGCCCCGCTGCCCAGCGGGTCCCCGCGATCGCTCTGCTCCCGGCCCGGGGACACCGGGCGGCGGCGGGCCCGGGCCCGGGGCAGGTGGCGGCGCTTCCCCCGCCCGGTGCCGGAAGCCGCGCACGGCGGGGCCGCTCGGGGAGCCCGGGCCGGGCGGCTCCGCGCACTCGCTCCTCGCTGGCCGGATCGCGGGGAGCCGGCTGAGCCTCGCGCGTGTCCCCGGCTGCCAGCGGGGCCACCCGGCCGCTCCCCGCACTGCTCCGGGAAACGCAGCCGTGCCGGCGCGGGGGGCACCTTCCCCCGGGCAGGTGGAGCGGGGCCGGGCACCGTCCCGGTGAGAGTCCCGGGCCGGTAGCTCCGGGCCTCCCCGCCGCCGCTGCGGGAGCGGCCCGGGAACCGCACCCCGGGCGCAGGACGGCGGAACCACGGACACCCGTGGGGCAACTCCCGGCGCGGCGTGGAGTCCTCGGCCCCTCCCGGGGGAACTCGGCTCCCGGGGCGCGGTTCCCGCAGGTGCCGGGCTGTGCTTCGCGTCGGGTGACACCGGGGCCACCCCGGGGGTCGGGGAGAGCGGGGGGTCCCAGTGCCACCACGATCCCGCCGGCCCTCGGGCGGGGCGGCCGATCCCCGCGGGGCCGGGACCGCCCGTGGGGCTCCCGGCGACTTTCTCCGGGGTGCGGGAGGGACGGGGCTGAGCCCGAGCGGCACTGGGGCCTGGAGCGGCTCCTTTGCCGGGGGTCCCCCGTCCCCCGAAGACGTTCCCTGTCCCCCCGGGGCCGGTCCGACCCCGGCCCGCGCGGCCCCGGCCGGCAGCAGCCCGCGCCCTCGGGGGCGCTGCCCGGGCCCGGAGGGGACACACCGGGAGGCACCGCTGAATGTCACCGCGCCGCAGCCCCTAACAAAGACGCAGCCGCCACGATCGCAGAGCCGAGCCAATAAAAAGCAAACTGATATTACAATTTTGATTTCCCTGGAGGGCCGAAGGGGCTTAATGTAAGAATTATTATCCATTGTGAACAGCAGCCCAAGGAAAGCACACACAGGAAGATTTAATTTTTTTTTTTTAACTTAGTGGTTTTCCTAAGAAACATACATTCATTGAAATTTATGCCAGCGGAGTTTGTTAACCCTCCCCTTTGACATTTCCAGCTTCTCCTGTTGCCAGAGGAGACAAGCCGAGCACAAACCGCTAATGCTCGCAATAAACTAAATGCCCAGGGACGAGCATGATTTGGTGCAGTTCCTCCCCTGCCTGGGTAAGCTGGAGAGCACGTCCAGGTCTTGGTCCAGCCTGGCGAGGAAAGCTCTGCTCTTCCCAGGACACAGTCGGGAATAGGCGATGAGGAGGGCAAAGTCTGGCTGGCTGCATATATAGAAAAAACACATATATTTTTAAATGTGTGACCAAACATCCTTGGCATCTTGTAGAACCTGCCTCAGAAGCAGTTTTAGAGGCTGTTGATGAAATATAATATATATTAAAAAAAAGAAAAAGTGAAAGCAACACTGAAAACCAATATTAAAAGCATTTTAATCACTGCCTGGCCCCTGGCTCCCACAGCTCAGCAGCAGCTCCCGTCCTGCAGGTTCCTGCAGGATCTTCATCTGCTTTCTGTTACGGGGCTGATTGCACATGATTCGCAGTAATGATGGTAATGGTGGTGATTTTCTGTCTCTTACCTTGCTCAGGCAGCAGCAGTTCATGAACTGATACATCTTTCCCTTTGTCAGGCCCAGAGAGGACACCTTATTTGAACCACATAAAATAGCCTAAATAAGGAAAGTGGGAAGCGTTTCCAACTGTTGCCTTTTCCTGACTGGCTGGGGCATATCACTGAGAAGAGACAAGGAAAGGGGTTTCCAACCAAAAGGAACATGAGCCAACTGCTGCCTTTCAAGCCAAGAAAGCAGCAGGTTGGTCCCGAGCAGTTTGTTGCTGTTTTGTCTGTGGATCAGGCAGGTACAGACATACATTTGGTGGGTACCTTCCCCTCCACCGCACACCTGGCCAAAAATTGGGATTCCTCTTTCTCTGCAGAGCATCAGCAATAGTTGCTGCTGCTTTCAGCAAGAAGATCCTGTCCGAGGTGGAGGACTGGGGGCTTCAACCTCCTGTATGCCCAGGCAGGGGCCTGATCCCGAGGGGGGGCTGCTGGGGTGCAGCTGTAAGACAAAACCTCTAACAGTCGGAGACAGATGGGCTTCCTGCAGGTGCTAGGAAGCATACCAAGGCAATTTCCCCTCAAATACTTGCTGGCCCTATTCCCTCCATGTACCCAGAGCTGATGTCTGTCTAGGTTTATCCTTTTCATCATTATTTATAAAGTTCTTACCCCGGAGCCAGAGCCAGCTCTGTGTCAGTACCTCGCTTGGGGTGGGTTCCGCCTCTCCAGAACAAGATGCTCCACTTCCCCTCGCCCTGTACGCCAGTAGCTCCTGCAGCCCTGCTCTATGTTTGCCATCAAGCAGCACTGATTACACGTGCCATCATTTCTGATGTTGCTCATTAGTCTGTATCATTATTAGCAATTTAAAACAGCAATTCTCTTCCAGCTGTAATCCTCCAGCTCCACCAAGGCGACTCCAAGGCTGCAGTTTGGGTGCTTGCCTTTTCCTCCCCTCCGCCCCAACAAGGCCAGCGGTTCCTCCCGAGCCTACAGAGCCAGGAGCACGCCAGGCTGAGCACCAAATCATAACAGAAAGTTAATTCATGAATAGTTACAGCGTTTCCTTCAAGGCCGCTCCCGCAGGCCAGAAACGGACTTTGCCGTGTCCTTGGAGCGGGGGGAGGGCACTGGCCCCATTCATCCCTACCTGGCCGCCTGCAGCCTTGGCCAGCTGGGCTACAGGATTTGCCCTTCTGCTTTTGTCAGCACTGGCTTGCATTGGAAGTTGTGGCCAGTCTGAACAACAGAGTATAACACAGCCCTTGTCGAGGTCAATACTGTGCTGGAGAAAGACAAGAAAAGGATGAGTAGGTAGGCTTGGAAAAAGAAACGACAAAAAAAAGCAAACCCACAAAAACCTAAACCCACCCACCCAATCAATAGGATGCCATGAAGTACGATGTGAACAATGAAACCCTGTTCCAGGTTGCCAAGGCAAATCTGTCAATAGAGTATTGAACAAGCAAATCTGACTTGCAATTATTGTCTCCTTCTAAATACAGGCTGCCCCTCTGCCTCCCAGCTCAGCCCCAGTGCTGGTGTGGGGAAGCTCAGTGATTGCTGGCTTTAAAATGGTGAGGAAGAGTCAAGTCTGGCAGCTGGGTTGGAATTTACTCCAACACATGCACTGAACCTACCCCTCCACCCCCTCCCGGAGCATCCCCACCACCTTTGCTGCAGTAGCTGAAGTGATGTGCCCTGCCCCCAGTGTAACAGGCAGCAGCAAAAATCCCTTTGCAAAACTGCTCATTCTTCAAAGCTATCAGTAAAACATCCGGGGCCAGTGAGCACACACAGGTATCCTCAGACACCAAGTGCCCAGAATTTTGTAACACTCAGGAGGAGCCTGAGCACCTGAGGCTGGAGCTGTCAGCATGGTGGCCTTAAAATCCAGCACGGCAGTGAGGTCTGGAGCTGCCACCACCCACCCAGAGGCAGCAGCAGTGGGAAAATCCAGAGGCGAAACCACCCTGAACTGGGTCATCACGTGGAAATTTAAATGGCTTCACAAGCGCATCGCTGCCGCTGGGGCACACGGGGCTGTGTTGGGTGAATGCTTTTTTCTAGTGCCACTTCCAGAATCCCCAGGAACGAGATACTTGCAGGAGCACACATTGTGCTTCCACAGCAGTTTAACACAGCACAGCAGAGCTGGTTTAGTGCAGCCGATGGAGGGGCTGAGGCACGAGAGGACACGTGGCAGCGCTACCCAGAGAAGCCACTCTGGGGACACGGCTGGGTTCCCCTCACCCCTGGAGCTCCCAGGCTGGCTCATCTGCAGGGAAGAAGGAGTGACAGCCCTGCTCTGCAGAGCTGCAGCCAGCACAAGCAGGGAGGGCAGCACGTAACAGCAGGTTCCCACTGGGCTCCATCACTTGGGGTCTTAGCTGGGAATAACCCCCCAGGGGGGGCCCCCAGGGCTCTTTTCCACTGTGCCTTCCCCCCCAACCTCAAGCATGGGTGCCATCGAGGGAGCCTCAGAGACCATCTGTCTTTAATCTTCTTAGAGCCAGGCAAGTCGGGAGAAATTCAGAGGAAAGAGGCACTGAAGTCCTTCTGTCCCTGGCTGTGACCCTCCTTCCACAGCACAGGGCTCAGCACCCAGCTGGTGGGAGCAGGTCCTGCCTGCCTCACATTCCCAGAGCAATGCAGGATGCCTGGGATGCACTCCCACCCTGGAAGCATTCCCACCTCCCAGGGCAGAGGGAGATGGGAACTCCTTCCCCCCATACCACAGGGAGCCTGATGCCTGTCACTGGCCCCACCCTGCCCCGGACCTTCCCCATCATCCCCCTCGGCTCCAAGCAGCCATGGAGAGATCTGTCCTTGGTGCTCTTCCCCCTCTTATCACTTAAGCCGATGCTGTTCCTTGGCAGCTGAGTGTAATTATGAGATTTTCTCCATCAGAACTGGGTCTCTGTGTGTGTCCCGGCATGGCTGCATCTGCCCGTGGCGGTGGTGAGGATGCTCTTCAGGTCCATGCACTCCTCCACCTGCAGCAGGGATGGCCCCATGCCCACTCCTCCCTCTGAGCCTCCAGACACTCAATGCCACTTCTCACTCTTGGGCAGGAGCTGGGCTGAGCCCAGGAAAAGGGACTTAATCCAGGCACAGCACCCCTAGGGGTGCAGCTGCCTCATCCCACAAACGAGCTCTCCTGGCTCCCACCCACACAGGCAATGCTTCCTGGGAGGGAGAAGTGTTTGTAAAGCCTTCCCTGGCTGCAGAGGAAAGTGGGCTGGTCATGCCAAGCTATTTAAGCACAAAGATTGATTGATTGATCTGCTAAGATTAGAGCTGAGGGCAGTTGCAGCCTGCTCTGTGGGTACCAGGAACTTTTCTGTCTGTGCTCTGCTCCCACAGCTGCTTGTGCAGCACCCGGCGCTGCCGGGGCCGGGACCAGCTCCTCTGGCAGAGCAATTCGATGCCACTTGGCGCTGATCCAAACTGCCATCCCGGCCTCCCCTCCCCGGGCTGTGCAGTGATGAGATCGGTGATCGCCCACAGAGAGCTGATAATTGCTGGTTTGGGCTGGGACTGCTCGGGGAGCTGTGGGAAGAGGACCAGCGAGGGCCTTGTCAGCACACGCCCCACCTCCTGGTCCGGGCATGGCACACGGCGGAGCTGGCACACGGGCAAACCACCCAGCACAGCAGAGATGAGCCCTGGACAGGGCACTGTGGAGGTGCTGCCTGGCACTGCAGGGATGGGGACCTCGGGCTCTGAGGGCTGTGAGACACAGGCCCTTCAGCGTCCCCAGGGCCGCAGAGTCCTGGCTGGTGGTACCGTGAGCTGTGGCTGTCATGGAACAGCCAGGGCTGGCATTGTGCCATGCACTGGGTGGGTCTGGGGCCGTGATCTGGGCTCTCCTCGTAGGAAAGGCTACAGGATCCTTGCTCCAGGCACGTGGTTCCCTTGGGAGCAAGCTGGGAGCTGGAGGGGTGGATCCAGCAGCTGTGCCATGGATGGGGAGGCTGCACAGCCCCAACCTGGCCAAGTGCTGCTGTGTGGGAGTGAAGGACTCAGCCCCTGCCCTTCCCCCCTCCAGCAGAGCCATCGCCGGCGTCCGGCAGCCACAGAAAGCCTCGTTTGGCAGAGGCGCCCGGGGCTCGCAGGGTTCGTGCCCGGGGCTCGCAGGGTTCCTGCCCGGCTCACGGGGCGCTGGTGTGCGGGGAGGGAGGAAGCAGCTCTGTGGTCAGGCAGTTTCCATTCCCTGCACCTGAGCCGAGGCAGCGGCACAGCTCCTCTCAGCCCTTCCCTCTGCCTTCCTTCCGCTCGCGTTCAGCGCCTCGGCAGGTCCAGCCCAGCCCATTCTCGCTGCAAGATGGCTTCGCCAGCCCGGAGACTGCCCTGGCACCTCACCTCCTCAGCAGAGCACACCAAGTGTTCATGTTCTCAAAGAAAGATTTCCTGGCCCTGCTGTTTGCCTGCTCGTTGTGCTGTCACCAGAGCTCCCTGCTCCAAAGCTGCTTAGTCTGACCCAAGTCGAACTGCACTAAACCCATCAGGAGGTGGATGCTTTGCCCGGGGCTGGGAGCCCATCGGTGTCTGCAGGGCAGAACCTCAGTCCAAGGCACTTGGGGGCCGCTCTCTGTCCCTGCCCCTGTCCCAGCTGATGGGGCTCAGGCACCAATTCAGCACCCGCACCCAGCACAGGTCACTCTGCTGCTGCAGAAGGCTCAGCCCTGGGCAGGGAAGACATTTTCATGGCCTATAAATTCCCTAAACCCAAGGGCTGATGATCTATGAGCCCTTTGCACGGGTGCTGGATAGGGCAGAGCAGGCGCTGGGCTCCTGGCTGAGCACTGCACTGCTCGTGCTGGGTTTGGGTGACAGGGAACAGCCACACAGGAGCTGAGTGAGCACAACTGGGAGACACAACTGGTCGCTGACAGGCTAGACTGGCTCCTGCAACCTCTGCCCTGCCTTGGACTACCTGGACTTGGTTATACAGAGCCAAGTGGGGACTCAAAGTGGTTCCTGGGATTCTGCACTGCTCCTACCTGGCACAGTGATCCCATCCCACAGTGACATTGTCCTGGGCTCTGTGGGTGTTAGTGCCTGACCCTCAGATGCTTTCTCATGCCAAACATTCAGGCGAAGGTGTTGCAGCAAAGACTTTGCCATTCACCCATGGGGGGTGGCAAAGTGAGCAGGGCTGGGGTCTGTTCCTTGGAAAGCTGCAGCTCATCTCCCTTTTCACTTCCCCTTCTCTCAGGCGACTGCATGTGCCCTGGGCAGCTATTTTTAGGCTGCTGCTTGCTGTCTGGTTTCCCCCGGGGATGCTGAGCAGGTTCTGGGAACTCCAGCTGTCTCACGGGCAGCACGAGAGATGCTTTACTTCCTGAGCTCAGTTCTTCACTCCCCAGAACACACCCTGGCTCTGCCACTCCCCCCCAGCTGCCCTGGCACTGGGCACAGCAGCATCCTGGCATGGGCTGGAGCACGAGGCAGGGATGCCCATCCCAGGAGCACTGGCACTGCTGAGGGATGTGGGGGGTCCCCCGTGGCAATGCTGACACTCTGCCCAGGCAGCCGGGATCACAGGGCAGCGCTGATTCATGGAGCTCTGTCATCACAAACACAACAACTGCTGTCCTGGGCCCCGAGGATTTACTGCCCGCAGCCAGGAAATACAGCACAGGCAGTTTCCTCGTGTTCCTCATGCTGGAGGGGACATCAGGAGCCCTGGTGCAACACGGGGCTCAGTCCTGGACTCCCCACTGCTGCTGCCTTGCCCATCACCCCCTTCCTGCCCCCGCTCCCTTTTCTGCCCCAACAGGGCTGTCACGGCCAGCACTGACCACGGGGGCTCACCTGTGTCCCAGCCTGTGGTGACCAGCTCGAGCCTGGATGGGG